TTTTTGATTAGGGAAAAGTGAATACAATCTCCTGCTGAATCATGATTTATAAATGCAGCTCAGATGAGGGCTTTTAGAGTTCTCAGTTTTGGAGGCTGCCTCATTTAGAAAGGATGGGCATGCCTTTTAGCCCTTCTTGGGAGATGCAGGCCTGGGTGGGTGTTATGCAGAAACCCACAGCTGCCACAGGGTCAGGTTACATGGAGCTGAGAGGAGCCTTTAACTCCTGCCTGACCCAGTGCCAGAAAGCAGGGGTTTTCCCAGAAAAACATTGAGCTGTGGTGCTGGCATCAAATTTAGCCTTCCAGGTTATTTCTTGTTAACCCCTAGGTAGCACCCCTGCCCCCCAACCCCTAGAGTAAAGCATTTAACCACAGTGTTGACCTGGCTTGTGGTGTGTGTGTGGTCTCTGTGCGGGGGTGGGGTGGGGGGGATGCTGCGTGCTCTTCCATAGTTCTTTCTTGAGGGCTAGTGTTGGGAAGAGGAGTTCCTTCAGAAAGGCCAACAGAGATGAATGTTCTTGACCTGATGTCCAGGGCACCAATGGCAGTAGAACCAGGTTTTGGGCAAACTAGAAAATGTCTGAAGGTGGCCTTGGTGCCATCACCTTCCCACTTTGCTGGATGGCTCTTCTCTTGTATATAGCCAGCACCAGCATCCCACTCCCAGCTTGTGTCCCGCTTTGTCAGGGCCTTGCCCTCAGCTAGCTATAAGGAAGACCTTCCTAGAACACTGGTTCTTCTTGTTGGGGGGTGGGAGTCGTGGTCACGGATCCTTCTAAGAGTTGCATGAAGAGTGTGGACTCCTTTTCCAGGTAAAGTATGTCTGTGTGTACACCCCGGTTTTGCCTGTGATTTCAGGGCTCATTGACCCCCTGAAGCTGGTCCGGAGGCCCCTACCTAGAACCCCTCCAACCATTCTGTGTAGTTGACTGCTTCTTCCTCTGCTCTTGATGTCAACTCAAGGGGCAGGGTCACTCTGGACACGGGGCAGAGCTACCCCAGGGCTTCAAGACCATGTTCTGCTGTTGCTGCTTCTGCCAGAGGGGCCCCAGCTCTACTTCCGGCCAGGGGCAGACAGGATGGGGCCGGCTAAACAGTGCCCTGCCACCGATGAGTTTGCTGCTCCTGTGGTCTGTATTTGATCTGATAAGAGCGAGTTCCTGAGAGTCTGTTGCGATGTAGAGTGGCCTTATCTGCGTCACTCTGTGGGTGACCTGCGCCCATACCCCGCCTCACATCCTGACCTCCTTTCATTGCTTGCATAATTCAGGACCCACCAGTCAATCACCGCCATGCAGCTACTTAACTGTGGCCACCTCAGGGCAGGCAGATGGTAGCACTTGGCCACACCCACTATAGTTAAGCTGTCCACCATACTTTTTCAGGATCCTCTGTTCCTTCATTACATCCGAAAGAGGCTGCACAGGCTGGTCTGAGCACCAACATGAGGTGGGGTGGAGAGCAGAGGGCTTATACTTATAGTCCCATGGGGGCAGGGATTCTGCTGCCACAGTCCCCAGGATGTCGGGGAGGCCAGAGCTAACTTTCCATAGTAAATGAAGCCTGTACCTTGGCCCTTCTCCCCGAAGGACACAGCACAGCTAGAGACATGATTTCTTTTCCTCTTCTGCCATTCTGTGATTGTAAGAAGGGGACTTGTAATTGCAGTCTGGCTTTGCTAATTGGGAAGCTGATCAGAAATTTTGAGGGTGTGACCCTCGCTAAATAGCCTATCAGGGCAGAACTAGAACTGATTCAGCAAAGAACTAGCAGCCTTGCCAGATATTCCTTCCGTGGTTAGGCACGGGACAAATTATAGACATGCATGCATGTAATCACGCACGTCCCCTGACTGAAAACTGGATAAACATATAAAAACAAATGAAAAACCAGATGATCTCTTGGTTTCAGTTGCTGTAATAAGCATATTGGTAGTAGTCTCTCAGTATAGGCTGCTGCTAAGTTGTGGTCAGAGTCGACTGTCTGTCACCCAACCTGGTGAAAAGTCTCTGCCAGTGGTGCTTTCTCTGGTCAGTGATAAAAGTCAGTTTCTGGGAGAAAGAGGTGCATCTCCAAATAAGCCCCAGAAGGTCTCAAAGTGCCCAGCTTTACAAAGCCATCCGAAAGCTTCAAGTACAAAGAAGCCGTGAGATGGGTGGGTTCTGAGGGCCAGGCAGTTAGTTCTGTGATGGTCAGAGCTACACAGGAGTGGAGGGTAGGGCATGGACCTTGGGCGTAAGGACCTGCAGGGGGAACATGGATGCTGAGGGATAGAGCAAGAAAATGAGACACTGACAGATCAGAACATCAGACACAAGCAGGATAAAGGCACATACTGTGGTTCAGATGGAATTCAGGATCTCAAACCCAGGAACACCAGGCAGCACAGGGGCAAAGAACTATGATGTTGTGGAGCTCTGCAGAGTGGTTTCTGGGAATGGCGAAGACATGCCTGAATTTGGGTGGTCTGTGACTGAACTTAGGATATGTGTGTTCATCTTTCCCTAAATCTTTGTGTTTCAGGACTGTTTAAAGACTTTTCATTAGGCCTAAGGCCTCCACCTCACATGATGGTGAACGTATCAGAATATAACCATCTCCCTCATTAAATATAATTGGCTGTAAAATATTCGAAAGGATTTCAGTCACCTGATATTTGGAATGATTCGGCTGAGTAACTCTAATTTGTGATTGGCTGTAATTTTTTAGCAGTCATCTTGCCCATCCAGGAGGGTTCTTGCGAACTAAGAAAATCAAAGCTACTAATTATTTTCGAATGTAATGAAATTTCTTTGACTGTTTAAATGAAACATGAACGAAGTTGACTTAATGTGACATCTTGCAAACACTTGTCAAAGAGGTTTATATAATGTCGAGGAGGTTTATATAATGTTACATAGACATTTAATGATTGATGTATTAATGTTGAGTATGCTATATTCATTTTGTTTGTTGGAGGGCAAGGTATTTTTTTTTCAGGTCTCATACAAGTAGGAGAAGGCCCTTGCTTGGAAAGGGGACTGAGAGAATGTGTCCACAGGGGCATGATGACAATGTGGAAATAGTTCCTAACCTAGGGTTTGAGGGCGGGGGGAAGGTGCCTCCTTAGAAATCCCAGGTACAGTTCCTATTCAACCTACACCAAGAGTAGTCACCTAATGTTTGTGGGCATATGATGGAATATGATTTGTTTTCCTTTATTGGTTCAGTAGGTTTGAACCAGAGTGACATGGGTTTACCTCTGCATGTAGTCAGGAGTGTACATGAAAGGGGTAGGATTGATAAAACAATATGAAAGCACAGGAGCTATAAACATATTTCTACTTTCTTCTGTTGTCTTCTTTTAAATACGTAAGTATGTTCTGATTCCATGGGCCCCTCTTATTTTTTGTGGTTCAACAGTTAGGGTAGATATAAAGGACACTGATCAGCATGTCCAAATGCACGCTGCCTGACCTTTCTGTGTGCTTTAATTGGAATCTATGTGTGTGTAGCAATACCATCTTTAATTTGGAGAACTGTTTAGGGAGGGGGTCGGTGGTTGCGAGAGGAGTGGAATCTTGTAGTGTGAATGGGACAAGTACAGGTTGTGTGGTCCAAAGAGAATTTTGTCAGGACTCAGTGGTTTCTAAAAGCATTTTTACAAAGATAAAGATTAATGTAGACATCAAGATAGTGCTTATTTCTGAGGGGTGGGGGTGGGATTCTATCAGGGAGAGGCATACAAAAGGCTTCCAAGAAAGAGGATTGATAGTGGCCTATTTCTTAATCTGGATCGTTGAGTATAGGGTTTCCATTTAATTATTATTCTTCAGAATGTTTATGTATGTTTTATATGCTCTTCTTTTTTGTGTGAGAAGTTTCACAATAAAAAAATTTGAAAAGAAAACACTGTTTTCTTTTACAACAATGTTAGAAATACATTCTTGTTTCTTTTGTTTTTTATTTGATTTAGGTGAGCGTAGCTACACCAAAGCAGAAACCAAAAACTCCATTTTGCTTCGGTAAGTACTGAACTGGAGGATGGGTTCTCCGAACACTCCTACAGCAACTTCCTTTTTGTGTGGAGACGGTCCTGTGATCACATGTGACTTATGTCCTGTGTATATGAGTGACTTCGGTCACAGCAATGTTGCTAGGTGTCAATGATACTGCTTTCTTTGGTCTCCTTGTGAACACCGTTAATAGCATAAGACAGAGGTGCAGGGAGCAGCGACGTTTCCGTTTTCCTGACTCCACAGGGCAGGGTACAGGTATCTACTGGTAGTTTCTGGGAACCCTCATCTCCAACTCTGTAGTGGTGTGCTCAGGAAAGGTGGAGACTTGGGGGGGAGCTGGAGGAACAATGGAAAAGAGTATCCTGTCAAGTGTCTCAGTGTTGCCAGATGAGTGAAGAGTTGGGAGTGAGCCAGGAAGCAGAGAGGGCATTGCTCGGTGGCTGCCTCTAGTCATTAATTAAATCATCAGTATTTATTTGGCTCCTACTGTGTTCTCAGTACTGTACAAAGTTTTACAAGCAGATACTAACAAGTAGCTTCTGTTTTTGTCTAGGGTGGTTTTGCAAGCTCCATGAAGCAGGGATATCCCTTTGCTCTGTCACTGCTGTCTCCTCACCACATACAGTGGTTCCTGGCATATAATGGCTGTTCAATAATATTTGTTGAGGGACTGAATGAACTAATGGATTCAATGTGTACCGCATGATGCTTACTTCTTATAGTTCTGGCTTATTTATGCTAGAAGAATAAAATAGTGACTTGAGCTGTCATCTCTCCCAACTGCAGGCTGGTTCAGGCTTCTTTGGTGCTCTCATTGTCCCATTTCTTTCAAATATCGTTGCTAAGCTCAGAAATTACTGTCTCAGATTTTGTGGTCAGCAGATCTAAAAGAGATAAATAATGAACCCAAAAGTAAATTATTGACCTCATGGAGTGCTCAGAGGAAAGAACAGGTGGAAAATAAGGTCAGGGTCACAGATTTGATCTCAGGCAAGCTTTGTTCCATTTTCCGACCACAGACAAGGCTCCTAACCCAGGCCAGTTGTGCCAGTAAAAACAAGGAGCACTGGGTCCAAAATTATATATGTATCATCATGACTGTAAATCTGTGAGTACCTCTAAAAAGCAGTTCAAGCGTGTATCTTGGTGGTGGTGGACTAGAAGCCTGATCGCTGTACAACAGTATATTATTAAGGGGGTTATTAGAACATTAATGACAGGTGATGGACTAATTCACACTTTTAAAGAGAGAGCACTTACAGCCTGCTGCTTCCCTGATATTCATGCAGCTGACTTTGTATCATGACAAATGTCTTCATCTGCTTCGTAGAATCCTCCACCTTGCTACTTCGGCACCTTAGTTTTGTGGAGTCTTTTTGTCTTGCATGTGTTCTCACCTGGGTCTTTCCTCTTTTCTTCCCCATGACTATTGCAGTCATCAATGCCCTCTCTCAGAGGTATTTCCTTCAAGCTAATGACCAGAAAGATCTGAAGGACTGGGTTGAAGCCTTGAACCAAGCCAGCAAAATCACCGTATGTATGATTCCTTCTCCTTTCTGGAGGGAGTCCGTGCCCCTTCTCAGCACGTGGCCCATTTTGGGTGGGGAAAAGCTCAGATGATGGCAGGGGCTTTCCCAGGAGCCGGTTCAGACCCAGTTCCCCCTACCTCTTCTTACACCTTGGCTGACTAACCACAAGTTGAACTGAGAGTTTGAGTTTGAATCAAGTTCAAGGGGAAGTTTATGGAGCGTCCCCTTTGCGCTTCCTGGGAGGGCTCCTGCTCTGTCGTGTTTTGGGTAATTCTGGTGTGCTGATTCAGAGTGTGGTGGGATTGGAAGATGGATTGCTGACTATGAGAAGCAGAGTAAAAGGAAAGCATATGAAGAGGGAAGTCAGAACTTTTTACTGGCACGGAGGGGGGAGATACTCTTCTTCCTTTAAGAGGTGACCTGGGGGTCAGTCCGGGCTATCCACCAACCTGTCCTGAAGAAGCCTTCCATTTGAAAAGCATCACTGAGCTAGTTTACTGACTGCTCTGTGAGTAGTCTCATTCTCTTTGACTGGTGAACTCCTTTCTTCTTCCTTAGAAATACAGAAAAAGAAAGAAGGGTAGGAAGGAGGAGAGGGAAAACTTATGTTTTGGGGGCCAAAAAACCACTAGACATTTCATCAATAATAGGCAGGCTTGTGGCATGTAAACTGTGGTTTGTATGCTGAGAAGATTGATATTCTTGTTTTAGTTATTTTTGTTTTAAGTTATTATTTTAATTCCAGTTAGTTAACATACAGTGTTATGTTAGTTTCAGTTGTACAATATAGTGATTCAGCGCTTTCATACGTCACCCGGTGCTCATCACAAGTGCACTCCTTAATTCCCATCACCTATTTCACCCAGCCCCCCATCCTCCTCCCCTCTGGTAACCATCAGTTTGTTCTCTATAGTTTAGGGTCTGTTTCTTGATTTGTCTCTCTCTGTCTCTTTTATTTTTCTTTTGCTTGTTTGTTTTCTTAAATTCCATATGTGAGTGAAATCATATGACATTTGTCTTTCTCTGACTTATCTTGCTTAGCCTTATATTCTCTAGCTCTATCCATGTCCTTGCAAATGGCAAGACTTCATTCTTTTTTATGGCCAAGTAATATTCGTGTGTGTGTGTGTGTGTGTGTGTGTGTGTGTGTGTGTGTGTGTGTGTATGTATATATACCACTTTATCCATTCATCAGTTGATGGATCCTTGGGCTGTTTCCATGTCTTGGCATTGTGGATAATGCTGTTATAAACATAGGGGCGCATGTATCCCTGTGACTTAGTGTTCTTGTATTCTTTGGGTAAATACCCAGCAGTGCAATTGCTGGATCAGAAGGTAGTTCTATTTTTAACTTCCTGAGGAACCTCCATATTGTTTTCCACAGTGGCTGCACCAGTTTGCATTCCCACCAACAGTGTACAAGTGCTACTTTTTCTCCACATCCTCACCAACACCTCTTGTTTCTTGCGTTGTTGATTTTCGCCATTCTGACAGTGTGAGGTGATATCTCATTGCAGTTTTGATTTGCATTTCCCTGATGATAAGTGCTGATGAACATCCTTTTTATGTGTCTGTTGGCCATCTGGATGTCTTTGGAGAAATGTCTGTTCATGTCTTCTGTCCACTTTGTAATTGGAAGATTGATTTCTTTTTTTTTTCTTTTTTTTAAATTTTTTGAGAGCACACAGATGGGGATAGGGGTTGAGGGAGAGAGAGAATCTTAAGCAGCCTCCATCCTCATTGCGTAGCCTGATGAGGGGCTCAATCCCATGGCTCTAGGGCCATGACCTCAGCCGAAATCAAGAGTCAGATGCTCAACCAACTGAGCCACCCAGGTGCCCCTGGATGGTTCATTTTCTTATCATATGGTCAGACTAGTTTACATTCTAGTCACTTCTAATAGTAACCATTATGTACTGGGGCAGATTATTCTCCCAAATACCTCAGGGTTTCTGTGAGTAAATTAATAGGAGAAATCTGTACACCTATCCAGCACTTGCGATGGCAGTCTCAAGCAGAGTACAATTCAGCCATTGAGGTGGTCTGGCTTAGTAGCTTGTTATTTTTATAAACTTTGGTTCACCTGTGAAAAGAGAACGGAAGGGAGGGAGGGAGAGTGCAGCTATCTCACATTTGTGTACTAACCGACATGCTTGTGCACATGACTCTAGAGTGCGGATCTTAGTACAGGTTTCCTTCGTTCATGATGCGGTCTTCACCCTTCTGTGTTTGACACACTTTTGGAGCTTCTTTCAGTGTCTAATACTTTATTCTCTTTCAGCATTCCCTCATGGATTTCCTTCTCTGTTCCTGCCTCATAAACTGGGCTACAAAGCCTGATAGGAGGTGGGGCCTTTCTTTTGTGCCTTGAGCATAGAGTTGCTGTCAGTAGTGAGGTCCCCCCACCTTTTTTCTGGTCTTGTGGAACAGAAGTCATAAGCCACAGGAGTGGGAAGGAGCATGGCGGTGCCCAGAGGCTGGGAGTCCAGAGGCTTGCTGGAATGTCAGAGCCTTCTGCTAGGTCTCCATAGTCTCCGGGATCCCCCTTACTTTCCTTTACTCCATTCATATGTCTTTTCACTCCTCCTGCCAAAGGTCCCGTGGGATAGAAGGAAGAGGATGGATACTCTATTTCCTATTCAGTTCGTGCCCTGGAAGGGTTTACTTCTTTTTCTACTTCCATATCGTCCTGTATCTTGTGTCCTTCCTAAGGGAGGCTGGGATGAAGGAAGATGTGGGCTGGGCATCACATTGATGGCATGCCTACTTATTTTAGGGCACCTTATATACAAAGTGCAGCATCAGGCACTTTGGCAGATACAGAGATGAATGAGGGAACAGATAATGTATCGAGCCAAGCTGTCACACGTGCCATATTATTCACCCCTCTCACATCACTCTTATAAATGGTTTTATTACCCTTTTTTAGATGAGAAAGATGGAAATCAGAGTCTTGCCCAAAATCTAGAGGTGGGTAAATGGTAGAGCTGAGATTAAACACCCAGAACCCTATGACTTCCAAGACCTAAAAGAGTTAATAGAAATATTTAAAGGGGCACTTGGGTGGCTCAGTTGGTTAAACGTCTGACTTCAGCTCAGGTCATGATCTCATGATCTCATGGTTTGTGGGTTTGAGCCCCACATTGGGCTCTGTGCTGACAACTCAGAGCCTGGATCCTCTTCAGATCTGTGTGTCTCTCTCTCTGTCCCTCCCCCTTTCACACACACACACTCTTTCCTGCTCTCTCTCTCAAAAAATAAATGAATAAACATTTTAAAAAATTTTAAAAATATTTAAAAAGAGCAACAGTTGTAAACTTTGTTAGATTACACACCATTTTTACATACATGGCTTCATTTTAGCCTCATATAAAAACCTTAAGTGTTATTATTCCCAATTATAAATGGGGTGATACAAATATATAGAGATTAAAGTGACTTGCCCAAGTTTATGGAACCAGGATAGATCGAGTTTATCTGCCCACAGATCATTGTTCATTTTGTGCTGAGGCCACTGGGTCCTTATCACTGAAGAAAATGGTATGCTCTGGCTTATAGTTGCATTACTCCCATCTCTGCCTCCATCACTATGGCCTGTGTGTCTGTGTGTCCTCTCTTCTTCTAAAAGGGGCGTCAGTCATTGGACTTTGGGCCCACCCTAACTGGTTATGACCTGATCTTAATTTAACTATATTTGCAAAGACCCTATTTCTAAATAAGGTCATATTCTGAGTTTGTGGGTGGATGGTTTTAAGGGGACATTATTCAACTTACTACATTTCCCAAAACTGTTGAAAATTGAGCAGTAAAAGTAAAGCACAGCCTCCTGCCCCCATTGGATTGTTCCTCATTGCAGTCTAGACATGCCTGGTGGAAGTAAGATGAGCCCCTGTAATTTTCTTTTTCTTTCTTTCTTTCTTTCTTTCTTTCTTTCTTTCTTTCTTTCTTTCTTTCTTTCTTTCTCTTTCTTTCTTTCTTTCTTTCTTTCTTTCTCTGTCTCTTTTTCTTCCTTCCTTCCTTCTTTCCTTCCTTCCTTCCTTCCTTCCTTCCTTCCTTCCTTCCTTCCTTCCTTCCTTCCTTCTTTCTTTTCTTGTTGTTAAGTAACCTCTACACCCACCATGGGGCTTGAATTTGTAACCCCGGGATCAAGAGTCATATGCTCCAGCAACTGAGCCAGGTGCCCCATGTCCCTGTAATTTTCATTTCACATTGCAAATGAGATTCATAAGGATATCCCCCATCAGAGAATACTCCACAGGGAGACTGAGGAGGGCACACCTTTAATTAGGCCTCTGGGGATATGGACCAACCAAAAGAATAACCTTGTTTTCAAGCTCTGGGCAGTTATTGTGGGTTTGTCCTCCACAAGCTGGAGGCTTTGGAAAGGCTCTGTGTAGATGGTCAGATGCAGCCCATGATGACAAGATTCTGAGAGGCAGTACAACAGCTTATCTTCTATGAGTCCTTTGCTGGCCACTGGGAAGTCTAAAAGGCTACATCCCTCCTTCTTTGCTAGAATTCATTTAGGTCACTTGAGGGGAGCTTCTGTTGTTCCATGATGATGATATCACTAAACATCCCAGCCATAATCAACATCCCTAAAGGGGTCCCATCACATTATAGCAAAGCTCAGGGAAGAAAAGGTGGCATAGGTAGGTAGTGGGGCATTTAGCAATGGAGAGTCAGGCAGTCCTAGGGGAAATTTACTTCCTTTGAATGAGCTTTCATTGATCTCTTCTATAAAATGGAGAAAATAATGCCTACTTCATAGGCATTGCTTGAGGTAGAGACCACGCAGCAGAGTTTGACACATTGTGTGGCCCTGAATGGGGCCCACTGAGGTGGGAACTGCAGTTCAGACAGCTGGAAGGGAGAGAAGGTAGATTTCTGGCTCCATCTGGAGAGCTGATGGGTGGAGGTCACCTTTGTCTATGTAAATGGAATGCCCAGGCCAGGGGTCTCATCTTCTTTCTGGAGCTCCAGCGTAATCACAGTGGTCTTAACCCTTTGAATAGACATGGAATGGAGTAGTCTTTGGTCTCATCCTTGGCAGAGTTCTCAAAGGGCCCTGAGCTATGAGCTCTTGAAAAAGTCTGGATTCTTAGGTCCTTCTGATTCCCAAGGCCATAGAAATGGAAGATGTTAGCTTTACTCGTGTCTAGATCCGCATAAGGTCTGAGACTTGTGAAGGACGGGCTTTGTGATGCCGTGGAAATTGCGCCCTGGTAGGGACTTAGGATCTAGTCTCTGTTCAGTTATTGACCACGGCTTTGGGCGATTGACTTGACTGGCCCGGGCCTCTCTTATTTTCTTACAAAATGAAAGATGTTATTGGAATTTCCAGTATAAATGAGTGCAATGAGCAAGGAGGAAGAAAAACAACAACATAAATGAGGATAAACAGCACCTGGCTTGTAGCCTCAGTGTTGGGGAGCATGATAGGGACAGTGGCAAACTGAAGAGTGTTCTCCATCTTGAGAGAGAAATGCTGCTTAGCTGAAAGTCTGGATTTTTAGCTAAAATATTCCACATTGGAAATGTGGATTGAAAAACACACTACATAGGACCAACAACACATAGTTTGGCCAGAATCTGCCTTCAGGCCACCAGTTTGCAGCCTGTGGCCTGTGGTGTCAAAAGAGCCATAAAAATTCTGTGATTATGTGATTGTCCGCGGTGCCCTAATTCTTCCAAGAGAGAAAAAAAGATAACTGTTCAAAAGGGCTGTGTTTGTAAATGTGAGTACCATTTGTGAAATGTTAATTAAAATATTTTGTAATATTCTTGACCCCTGAACAACATAGGTTTGAACTACTTATATGCAGGGTTTTTTTTGCAGTACAACTGTGAATGTATTTTCCTTATGATTTTCTTAATAATATTTTATTTTGTCTAGCTTTATTGTAAGAATACAGTATATAATACATAGAACATACAAAATCTGTGTTAACTGATGATGTCTGTTATCAGTAAGGCTTCCGGTCAACAGTAGGCTATTAGTAGTTGAGTTTTCAGAGTTATAAGTTATACATGGAGTTTTTACTGTGTGGGAGTCAGTGCTCTTAACCCCCTGTGTTGTTCAAAGGTCAACTGTACTTTTATATTTTTTATTTTTGAGAATTTTAAATATATATATATTCTGTCATTTGATAAGTACAGTGACTACGATATAAATATTATTACCCTTTTTGTTTTCTACATGGGCCAGTTTTGGCCTAGAGAGAGGTTCAGTGCCAAAGGTCACTCAGTTAGTCAGTGACAGGTCAGGAGTAGGTAGCCCGGGTCCTTGGGCTCCAAAGCTCATGGTCCCCTAATTCTATTCCGTATCCCACATGTATGTTACCTGTTCCCCTGCCTAGCATGCTTTCTCCTCCTTACATTCCTGGTTCCTGTTCATCTCTGGGTTACTGTTCCAGCATCTCTCTTCCTCTGGATACCTCCGCTCACCATTCCGTTTCAAATAGTTCCCCTGCACCTCTGTATCTCAGCTCCTGTTTATTTTTTTTATGGCACTCCCCACAATTTATAATTATTCTTATTGTTTGGCTGTGCATTTTTTGGTCAGTCTCTGTTGTTGGAATGTCCGTGCTATTAGGGTGGGGCATGTATGTCTGTTTGCTGTCTTATGGTTGGTCTGTAGTCAGGGAAGGGCCGGCTCACAGTGGGTGCTCGGTAATTGTGTGTGTGCGTGTGCATGTGCGTATAGGGGTCTGCTGGCAGAGTTCCTCGTATTCAGGAATGTGTCGATGGAAGGGCTGAGGAAGAGCCCTTACTACAATTTGGTACGTTAGCTTTTCTTACCTCTTCCCCAATCCTCTTTTGCCTCCCCACTTTTCCTAAGCTGTCTTTCTTGCCAGGTGCCAAAAGTTGGGAGCCTGCCCCTGACTACCGAGGTTCTGAAAAGCCTAGCAGCTCCTCCAGCCCTAGAGAAGAAGCCGCAGGTGGCCTACAAGACCGAGATCATCGGAGGGGTGGTGGTACACACGCCTATCAACCAGGTGCTGGGACCTGGGGCTTTTGGTGGGGGCGGGAGGGGGCAGGGGTATGGGGGTGTCCATAGTGTGCCAGTGATGTACATAGAGGTGGGCTGCACTGAGGAAAGGTAGTTGTGGGTGGGGGAACCAGGGAAGATGGGGTGGCCAAGAAAACCCAGGACAGGGGTGGGTGTGAATAGTAGCAGTACAGAAATCAGGGCCACCATATCTTGAGGCATTTTGGCCGGTATGGTCCTGCACCATACATGGGAGACTAGCACTTGTAAATCACAGGGGCAAAACAAGCCTGCTGTCCCTCCTCCCATAGGGTGTTTCTCCCCTCTTCTGGTTTGCCTTCTCTGTCCTTACCTTTTTCCTGGGTCTGCCCAACTTCGCAAGCCTTGTTCTCTGACAGGACCCAGTACAGTGCCTGATGGGAGCAAAATGAATGTTTACTTTCTTGTTATTTCTTCTCTGATTGCTATCATGGGTAAAGAGGCAAGAGAGGCTTCCCTAAGAGAGCTGGGTGAGGCATGGGGTTTGCCGTGTGAGGAGCAAGGGGAGGTGCTAATCCTGACACTGTTTCCTTGTAGAATGGTGGGGATGGGCAGGAAGGGAGTGAACCTGGGTCCCACGCCATCCTTCGAAGGTCTCAGAGTTACATCCCTACGACAGGCAGCCATGTTCCATCTGGGCCCCACTTCATTAAGAGCGGCTACTGCGTGAAGCAAGGGAATGTGGTGAGTGTCAGTGCTGGGGCCAGAGTGAGTCCTGGTGCCTCCTGGGAGCGGTGGTTGTGGGCAGTGCACAGGGGACAGCTGGCTGCAAGGAGGAGCTGCCCACTTCCCAAACCGGTGAAAGGTTTGGGACTAAATACTCACCCCTGCATGCCTGAGGCTCTGCCTCTAATAGGAAGAAGTCTCTCCCTCTGCTGACCCCGTCTCTCCCACTGAATGTGGGAGTCCAGCTTCCATTGGGCTGGGTACCCAGAGGCTTAGAACTGGAACACCCTCTGGAATGCTGGGACCTCTTCTTAATGTCCTGCTCTTGCTTTTTATTTCAGCGGAAGAGCTGGAAACGTCGCTTCTTTGCACTTGATGACTTTACTCTCTGCTACTTCAAGTGTGAACAGGTTTGTAGTCATTCTGGGGCCCTTCTGACAGGCCATGGAAGCAAGAGGCACACAGGTGACACTGACATGTGTGTGCATGAGTAGAGATGTGGGCACACACACAGGCCTGTGGGGTGCCTCTGTCTTATGAGCATCCATCCCATGTGTACATCTTTACGTCAATAGTAACGTGGCCTTCACTTTCTCCCTCCCTCAACGCAGTGAGCTGCTCTGTGGTCAGAGCCACAGAATATCTTCTTAGAACTTTTTCCTCTCTTGATAGTTATTTTGAGACTTTGCCTTGTTTGCAGTGTACCTCTGATCAGAGAGATACATTCATCAGCTGGGCTGGGTTGTGGCATTATGTGGATAGTCTCATTTACCTAATTTTTTCCACCAGGACCGAGAACCACTGCGCACTATATTTCTCAAGGATGTTCTTAAGACCCATGAGTGTCTGGTCAAATCTGGGTAATTATCTCTGCTTACTTTTTTTTTTCTGATAGGAATCCACATTTGCTTGCCTAAATCTTCATTTACTACCCTTCAGAAGCTCTATTTAAGAATTTTCTCCCATGAGCATGACAGGGCCTGACATCTCACTTACTGCATCCAAACTAATGCAGCTAAGAGACCAAACTGGGCAAGCTCATCTCATCTTTTCCCTCTGCCTTTCTCTGGCCCCTGAGGGGACAGGCTGAGTCTAAATAATAATTTTTGATGTAGAAAAAGAAAGAATGTGGGAAAAAGAAGAGAGTGGTGTTGGGATGCTTCTCAAGTGTTAGAATTAGATGCTCATTGCATGGGAGGCTTAGGGCTCAGAGCAGGGACAGTGTCCTGAGGTCTCACTTATCAGCACTGCTGGTCAGATCACTGCTTATTCCAATGCTTCTTCCCTGAACTTCTTACGCCTTTTCCCCTTTTTTGACAAAGTCCTGGATATCTCCTTAACACAAAGGTGATTAACAGCATCTCTGTGTGACTCCCTTGTAGAGGAAGAGCGAGTATTTTTAATGTGTTCCTCTTCCCACTAGGAAGAGTGCCAAGGTGCATAGGAGGACTTTGGGATCTGGGGCCCATAGGCAAAGGTGCTCTCCTGTAGTCAATATAGATACAGATGCCCTTAGAACTAAACTGTAGAAACCCAAGGGCATCTGGACATCTAAAAGTCCTCCTTGTGCCCCTTAAGCTCCAGTCTTTAGAGACTGTTTGCGTCTCTCCATCCCATGGACTGTGCATTACAGACCAACATTATCAGGGAGGCTCTTAGCAGCAGGCAGACTGTTATCACATGAAGGCATAGGAAGGTCTTGCATGGCAACAAAAGGCCACATGACCCCAAGGAAGCAGGGACTGAACTGGAGCTGTACTGAGTCTTGCAAATGATATTTGCAGAGTAGAGATTAGGGAAGTTCCCAGTGACAGTTTGTATTCCATAAAAGTGGCTGGTGATGGATGTTCCAGAAGTGTGGCTCCAGAGTTTGATGGTGGGTGGAGGAAAGACTGGGCATGACTGCATCCTCAGAGATGATTCCTGACTTCACAGGGGGCCCGTGCAAACAGGTAGGTGGACAGCCACCTGGGCATGTTGGGCAGCTTAGCGAGCCCAGATGGCATTGAGTCCTAAGAGTGCTCTGTACTTCACCTGAGTCTCTCACTGCCACAGTCAGACTGAATCCTTAGTGAAGGAATTAAGGGAGCTTCAGATCATTAGGGAAAGAAGTCCCCAAGGCTCTGCGGGTTCCAGGCCTACGAGACTGTGCGGCCTCCCCAAACCCAGTTAAGAAGCTTTAGGGCATCTGCGTAGTCAACAAACATTTGTTAACTTGAATTAAATTGAATTGAACTGAATTGAATTGAAAGGCAACGTGTAGCTTGGGAAGTAGATGTGACAAGGGTGGGGTTTCCTCCTTGCTTTGCTTTCGTCTCTTCAGTAGTTGATGACATGAGTGTACTGTATGTGTGTGAGTAATTTAAAAAATGAAAACAGTTTAGTCAGTAAGAAGAGCCATCTCCATTCAGAAAGTAATAATGGTCAGTGAAATGTTTCAAGTGACCACTATATGACATGCATGGTAGCAGATGCCTTATGTACTTTATACATTGATCTTTGTGGTCACCAGCCTGGTAAGGGGGGTCTTGTCATCTCCTTTTTACAGTTGGGGTACAAAGGCCCACAAAGATTTAAAATATTCCTACAATATCTTTTCCCCAAGTGGAGTCAGGATTTGGTCCCAGGTCTTTCTGACACCGTCTTGCTGTCCCTTCCCACGTGGGTCTTTGGTCTCTTGCTCCTCCTTTGCCCGGGTGCCCATGTCACTGGCTCAGTGCCTGCCATGTCCTTCCAAGTCCTCATTCATGAAGCCAACTCTGCCTGCAATCAGTCCTTTTTTGGAATTATTCTCACTCTTGGCGTAAGAACACACAGTCTAACATCTAATTGTATAGTTTTGCTTTTTTTTTTTTTTTTTTTTTTTTTTGGTTCTTTTATTGGGAAGAAATTAGATCTTTTACTCCTTATGTATTGCCCACAGCACCTGGATACACAAAACAGGCGCTCAACACTGCAAATAATTTTGGCCGATTTAGGGTTTGTCACTGGGCATCACCTACATCTCCCCTTTTTCCTTGTAGAAGTCAGGATTCTTCCCAAACTCATACCGAGTTTGAAGTATCTTAAAGGAGTCTAGTTTCTCCTTCCATATCTCATTGGTTCCCCGTCTCAACCCAGTACAGGGTGGCACAGAGCAGTAATTTAATGAAGCTGATGAGGTTGCTGCTTGTGGGGAGGAAGGCTTTGGAAGTGAGAGTTGGTTCCCATAGGAGAGGCAAATGGTAATGGAGTACTTAAAAGCATAGATTCTGAAGTCAGACCTGGGTTCAAATCCTTGCTCTGCTGTTTACTAACTTTGGCACCATGGACAAGTCACGTAGCCTCTCTGAGGCTGGGTTTCCTCATCCACAAAGTGGGGAAAGTCTTAAGTTCCTTACTGGATTGTTGTAAACATTGGATAAAATAACACACTCAAAAACACTCAAAGAACAGATTGGTGGTTGCCAGAGGTGGGAGGTGGGGGGTGGGCAAAATGGGTAAAGGGGATCAGAAGGCACAAACTTCCATTTATAAAATAAATAAGTCCTAGTAATGTGATGTACAGTATGGTAACCATAATTAATAATGCTATATTGGATATTTGTAAGTTGCTGAGGGAGTAGACCTTAAAAGTTCTCATCACAAGAAAAAAAGAGCTTGTAACTATGTGTGGTGACTGATGTCAACTAGACTTCTTGTGGTGATCAGTTCACAATATATACAAATACTGCATCACTATCTTGTGTACCTGAAACTAATAAAATGTTACAGGTCCATTCTCTCTCCCTATGTCTTTATATATAAATAATATCTTATGTATTAATAAATATGTAAAATGAATAATTGATTAGTTACATTTACATATTTATAAAACCAATAAAATGTTCATCTGCTTGACCCTGAAAAAAGCACTTAAAGCAGTGCTTTGTACAAAGAACTTTATACATCTTGGCCCTTAACTGCCCCTTCCCCCCACAACTATAGGTCGTATGGGATGTGATGGATCTTAGGCAGGAGGTTTTAGAGGGAAAGGAGCATTATCTTGTTAGAACTGGTGGTGGGGTATGTGTATGTGTGGGATTTCCATGGGGATGTTGAGACCTACTGAGAACCTGTGGGAAGTTAAGCTGGAGGAGACCCCGTCATGGTTTTTGAGGCAGAGGTCGGAGGAAGAATGGCCTGGGAGCTCCCTTTCTATGGGAGAGGGCGCAGGAGCCTTTACTTGGGATAAATCATGTCCTCAGTGTGTGTGCAGGCATGCCTGGTAACTTGCTTTCTCTTTGTCTAGTGATCTCTTAATGAGGGACAACCTGTTTGAAATCATAACAAGCTCCAGGACCTTCTACATACAGGTAAAAGGCTCACTCTGAGAAGACTTTTGTGTTCTCTTTCTGTGAATGGTGTGCGATAGGTCTTGCCCTTTCCTCTGCTTTCTCTTTTATTTTGTTTGAAGTTTCTAGGTCGTAAATTTAGCCCGTGATAGTCAGTCTGAGTCCCATTTTATTCTAAACAGGATGTTTGCCAGAAGCTTCCCAACCATAAAATAATAAGAACAGGTTGAGCCTCTGAACTGGGGAATGTGAGTTTGTACCAGCTGCTCTCAGCTGCTGGGCGCCAACTAAGCAGAGAAAAGGAGAACTAGCCAGTGGTTTCACTTCTCCTTTGGAGGGTATTTATAAGCCCCGCCTGTGTGGACATTGCTGTGTGCGGAAGAACCGAAGCACAGAGGGCCCTGTGCAGGCACCAGGTGCAAAGCCCAGCTGCACAGAGAAAGCCATTGTTTGGGCTCTGACAGTTCAGCTCTCAGAAGCTTCTCCCTCCACCCACAGCTTTGGAGTTCTCCCAGCTCTTTCTTAAATCATAGGAGCGAGAAAGGCAGATACCCTTTCAGGGTCTAGACTTTCAATGCCAAGTCCCTACCCAAGCTGGCCTAGTAATCTACAGAGCATGCCTTGATCCATGCATCATCGTGATAATGCCGCGTTTCTGGGATTCAGACTGCCATGCAATGTGTTGGTTTAGATGTGGGGCTCCCTAGCCAAGGCTTTTCAGGGTTCCCAGTGCTCTTTCTTTGTTCCAAGTGTCACTCCCCACTAAGTACCATCTGTTGTTCCACAGGGCCTCCCCTCCCCCATTTCTTGGGCAGCAGCTCCATAGTCCTGACCCTTCTGAGCTGGTCATTCTGCCCGAGCCCAGCAGACATGCTGGCAGCCTTAACTACCTGTGGGCTCCATTCATTCACCCAAGCATGTGTCACTGGGGAAGAGCTAGCATAAGGGAGCTGTGCGTAGCGTTGCTGGAGTTGTTAGAGCTGGTTCCATTGTCATTCAGGGACAGGGTTTAAATTGTAGGTTCAAAAAGTTTCCAGTTCTTGAATTTAACAGGTGTTTGTAGAGTATCCTTAGAGTGCCGTGCATTTTGCTTCATACTGGGGATGACACTGTGTTAAATAGAACAGATCGTGAACTGGAGAGAGAGAGAGAGAGTCAAGTAAACAGGCAATTAAAACAGTGCGATGGGGTCGAGGAAGGAGTGTTGGGTTGTTGAACACAGGGGAGTTTTGGGGGGCAGTGAAACTATTCTGTATGATACTGTAATGGTCGATATATGAAATAGAACTTTATAGAAGGCAATAAAAGTAAAGAGTAAACTTTAATATATGTGAATTTAAAAAATCACTTAGGCAGTTGGGTGATTCTAGCATGGCATATAGACTGTGACAAAAGAGCCTAAATGCATTATAGGGTTGGAACGACCTCACTGAAGGGGCCAGGGGAATTAAAAAAAAGGAAGCAAACGAACAAAAAAACCTGGTGTGGTAAGTGCTACCATGACAGTGAGTTGTGGTTGCCATGGGAACTCATAAAAGGGGCATCTCCCCCATCTTGGAGTTGGGGGAGGTTTCTTGCAGGAAGGCACAGCTAAACTGAGTCAGTTACGGGGCGCCTGGGTGGCGCAGTCGGTTAAGCGTCCGACTTCAGCCAGGTCACGATCTCGCGGTCCGTGAGTTCGAGCCCCGCATCGGGCTCTGGGCTGATGGCTCAGAGCCTGGAGCCTGTTTCCGATTCTGTGTCTCCCTCTCTCTCTGTCCCTCCCCCGTTCATGCTCTGTCTCTCTCTGTCCCAAAAATAAATAAACGTTGAAAAAAAAAAATTTTAAACTGAGTCAGTTGGGAGAAGAGTGGCCTAGGCAGAGAGAACAGCATGTGTGAAAAAGCCTGGAGATAAAAGGAGCACAGGGCACAGGGAGGGCTGGGAAGCCTGTGTGGAGGGCCCATGCCTTATAGCCCCTATTAGAGAGCTTGTATTTTATCTTGAGGGTTGGGTCCCATTGAGGTTGAACCCAGAGAGTGGCCCAATCAAATTTGCCTTCTAAAAATGCCACCTGGGCAAGTGATCTAACGTTCAAACCCTGTTTTCCTCATCTGTAAAGTGGCGATGATATCCCTCAACTGACCACATTAATGGTGTGCCAGCTGTGAGTTTCCAGGCCCAGGGCAGTATAGACAGACAAAGAAAAGGTAAGACAGGAGGTAGAGAGAGAAGTTTGGTATCTGTGGTAGTAATTTGGGTGACGGATGAAAGAAGCTTGAACTAGGATGGATGGAGAAAAATGGACAACTTAAAAGCTATTGAAGAGTTGTTTCTGGGACTTGGTTGTGGGTTGGATGTGGGCTGAGGGGAGATGGGGAGGCAAGGACACCGCTGGGTGTTTGGCCTGGGCCTCAGGGTGTCAGACAACAGCAATCACTTAGACCACAGCCAGGCGAGGAGGTACTGGTGAGTGTGAAGGCAAGCCTAGTGTTGGGGGTTCTGAGTTGACAGTGTCTGTGGGACATTGAAGGTGATGTGTTATGAAGGTCCTTCAGTAGACAGTGCCTGACACATGGTTGGTACTAAATAAGTATTGTCAAGTGAACGATTATGCTCGGTAAGAGCTTTGGACTAGAGAGAGTGATTTGGGAAACGTGAATCCCAACAAGAACAATGTTTAAGAGACATTGGTTGCATCATCTGAATGAATGTATGCACATTTACCAGAGCTTCTCATCACTTTTACCACCGTTTGCCTTCTAGTCTCACATTTCCAGGATAAAAGAATACTAGCATCTCCCTGAAATAAACAAATGAGTGAATGAACAAGTCTGTTTACAGCACTTAACTCAGAGAGAGTAGAAAATTGAGAAGAACATAGAGTAAAAGTCATTAAAAATATGTATTAATTTATTTTCAGATAGCAGCCAAAAACTCAGTTACGTTAACACAAGTAGTATTTTATGAAAAATAGGTATATTTCTAAAACAAAAAACGCAACAAAAGTAGCATTGTTTTTATGTTTTTGCAAATCTCTTTAATGGCTGGCTTAAAAGAAGACAGCATTCTCCTATCTGCTTCTGCATTCTATCTGTGGTCATATGTTGTTTTGGTTGAAGAATATGAAGAAAATCTGGCCTTGCACAGATACGTATTTGCAAAAAAGGACTATTTTAATAGGTTTGTCAGATAATTGTGGATAGTCTTCTTTGATTGTATATGAAAACTTGACAAATGGTAGTTTCTTAGTGCTCAGGTGCAGTGTGGAATTGGAAGCCAATATCAATATTGGTAAACTTCCATGCTTTTACATTAAAATCCACTGGTCAGTTTCATACTTTGAATGGATCCTTTTTACCAATGCATGATTTGGTAACTTCATGCACTGGCCGTTAGGAAAATAGTGGTCACACAGAGGTATGCAGATCTTCTAATTGTTGACACATTTTATTATATATAATATCAAAAAATCACATTTGTTAATAGCACCACAACGATCATCATCAACCAAGTCTTTTTTCCTTTTTCTTTTTTCTTTTGAGAGAGACAGAGACAGAGACAGAGAGAAAGACAGGGAGAGAGATGGAGAGCATGTGCACCTGAGCAGGGGAGGGGCAGAGAGAGAGGGAGAGAGAGAATCTCAAGCAGGCTCCACACCATTAGCGCCAAGCTCCATGCAGGGCTCGAACCCATGAACTTTTGAGATCATGACCTGAGCTGAAGTCGGATGCTTAACCGACTGAGCAACCCAGGTGACCCAATAAAGTCTTTAAGTACGGAAAGCTTTTGGAATTCTAATTTTGTTTGGAAGCTCAAAATTGAAAAAAAAAATGCATTCATGATTTTCCCTGACTTAACGGACTCATTTCATTCATTTTTGAGGAAGTGTCCACCATTTACCTAAGTCTGAGTAAGTCTGACAGTTTGTCAGTCATTTGTTCCAGGTAAAAATTATGTTTCATGAGAAACGTAAAAGAATATAATGGCTTCCCCTACAGTTTGGTGCCAGCAGCTTTACCCACCATGCCTATGTGGCATTCTGACCTGCTTCCTAGGGGATGTTTAGTAAACCTGCCTGAAAGAACCACATATCCTCACTATCCGGGAAAGCTGGACCAGGGCAGCTGTAGGCAGGGTGAGCAGACTCTTTGGGCAGGGACAGAGGCTTGGGCAACAGAATGGGGCTGGCTGCCATCTGCTGAGGTGTTGGTCATTTATCTTCTGTCACATTTGCCTTCCAAGTCACACATCTATATAATTTGTGCCTGAGAATGCTACCCTGTGTTGGACACTTAGATGTCACAGGCACAGTGCTAAGTAGTTTACAGGCAGCACATCACTGAATTCGCAGTGATATCTGAGACCATCTCCATTTTAGAGATGAGGAGACAGAATGTCTGAAGGCAAACTATTTGTTTGAGATCATCAACCTGGTGAATTATGGAACTGAGTAGGAGTCACCTAGTCAGGTGCTAGAGCAGGACCCACCCACTTGTGTTGTTTAAAAGCAGCTTGGTACAGAGCACAAAGATGTAGAAGGTGTGGCTATAGACAACTAGTGGAGATCAGCTTGGGGTGATGGATCATGGTGACCAAGATCCAGGATCTGGCAGTAATCAGGTATCGAAGCTTGGGATGTCAGCAAGCTTATCAGTAGGTTCTCAGTCCTGGGCAAGGGTTCAAAATGAGATTTCAATCCTTGGAATACGAGACATGCAGCAGTCACCATTTCCCCATTTCCCTTTCATAGAAGGTCAGGGGTATTAGGTAGGAGGATGTAGTTACTCCAGATGAGAAATGTAGTGCAGACTGGTTTGGGTAACTTGGTATAGGCCTAGTTGTCAGAACTAGGGGGCTATGTCAGGATAAGAGTAGTAATAAGATGGCTCCTATGTGAATTGCAGAGTGTTGGTATAGAGCTCTTACAGTAAGTAAGATAGATACTTACTGTTTTAATTTAGACTACAGGGTGAATGACAGCATCTTGAACTATGTAGTGCACAGTCTAGGCAATCATACTGGCAGGGCTGTGTCTAAAGACAGGATTGGTTCCTGGGGAGAAAGCAGGGATTATTAGCTGTTGGGAAGGGTGGGGAGGTGCAGAGGTTGGGAACAGACAAATGTTGGGCAGCTGCAGGAGAAGCCACCCTGGTAGGGACTGGAGACCTATTACTGATGACCTGTGGAATTCATTGCTTTAAACCGTGGCATCTGTTACAGTGCTGGGCTCATAGTAGGTACTCAGTAAAAGCTTGTAGGACTGCAATAAACATCAGGATACGGTGACTCATGCTTTTAATACCCTTTGTTCCTCTCACCTCCAAAACTACCCTCAAGGACAGAAACCCTACTTTTTCTTTTGAACCAATTGCCCAAAACAAATGCACACACTTAAGCACGCCAGGAAGAGGTGAAGGTATGAGCATGGTACTTCCTTTTTTATTCTATTGAGTTTTAAGCATCATTTAGGCTTCTTGCAATTCTCCAGGCTGTGTGTGGACTTCAGCACGGTTTTTTTACCCCTGGTTCACAAAGCTACCTTTGAGGTGGTATTTTAAGATATTTGGGGGGTTTTGATGAAAGGTAAGCACAAGCCTTCCATAAAAGGTAGACATACACATACGCCATATGTTTGCACACAGTTTTTGAGGTTTTGAGGAATTTAGAGATTATAATTGTGATCTCAATAAAGTGGAAGTCTGTTTCTTCTCAATTTTTCTCACAATATCTGCTTTTCTATTGGAATAATATTTTTAAATGACATTTGTCAAACATTAAAATAATGCTTACTAATGTTTATTATTACTCTCCTCATGGCTGGTTAACTCTGTAGGTTATCTAACGGAAAAATGTCCATATGTGGAGTTAGAGAATTGGGAAAAATATAACTAGCAAATAATTTCCATCTCTGAGTTTCTAAATGTTTTCAGGAAGAGATTTAATAATTTTGCCCATCATATTAGCAAAGACTTAAAAATTGTAATATTTAATTCTAGCAAGGGTGCACGTAAAAAATAATATATTGGTGGTAAGTGAAATCCATATTGTTGGCCAGAAATCCCTCTGACCAGATGTAACCAGAGCCTTAAAAGAACGCAAGTCTTTGGTAATTTTCCTAGAATCATAAGAATGAAAAAAGCTTTGTGCACAAAGGTGTGAATAGCAGCATTACTTATACTAAAGGAGAATTGGAAACAATCTAAATGTGTTTTATAGGATTTTGATTCTTGTGTCTGACTTCCCAGACGGTAAGTCAGGTGGTCCCTAGTTTTCTCTTATTCAGTGGCTCCTTGCTAGATGGAGGTAAGTTCCGAGAGAAGATGTACAAATATGTTGGTGGAGCTTTAAAGGACAGTCAGTTAGGTGGCCTGTGGCTTGTGGGGAAGCATTTGACTTGGGGGGTGCTGTGTTGTGCTTGGGTGGTGGGAGGGGATAGACTAGCTCAGTAGCCCTGGAAACTGTTGTCGTGTGGATCTTGCCAGACCTATTGTATGATGTGGGAGACGTTTGTCTCTCCTCAGGTCCCATCTTTCTCTTTTCCAGTCTTCTAACATTGCCCCCTACCAAATCGTGTGTCTCTCTACTTAATGGACAATTTAATTACCTCCATCTCGTTCTATTCAAAGTAACCAAATAGGTTATCTCTTTTGATACTGACAATTTCATCCTTAGGTAGGAATTACGTGCAGTTTGAGTATGAGGAAACAGAAAAAAAAAATCTCAGGGAGAAGGCAGTTAACATATTTATAATATTGCAGTTTGAGGCTTCATTCATGTCCCATGTGTAATAATAATAAAAACGATAACTAATACTTAAGAAGCCCTTTCTGTGCATCCGACACTGTTCAAACTGCTTTACCTAAATGAGTTCATTACATTTTCCCAGCAGTTCTACTTGCAGAACAGGCTAGGTCTGATGCTACTAAAATACCTTCTGGAAGGATCTTGGGACACCTTGTCCTGTTTATCTTTTTGGACTAGTGATGGATTTTTCTCGGAAAACCCAACCATCAGGTTGTCACACAACTGGGAAAAGCCCAGTGGAGAGAGAATACGTGTAAGTTTGCAGCTCTAGCACCTGAGAGGGGTGTTCACCTTGAGCACTTGCTGCTATACCTGATTAACGCAGCGTGCCAGGATGTGACACTGTTTCTTTCCTAAGTGTCTTCTGCACACACCTAACCGATGTGGGTTTGTTTGGGGTGACAGAAAGGGGTAGGAATGCAAGTATGAGGATTAAAAAAAAACAAAAAACAAAACAACAAAACCCAAAACCAAAAAACAAAACCAAAAACTACTGTTTTATCCAAATACAGTGCAAAGTAAAAGAATCATTTGGGGGCTGCGGAAAGGGAGGGGTGTATGTGGAGAGTTTTGCAGGCTGGAGCGTGGTGTTTACATATACCGTACATAGGCACACAAATGCACGCTTCTGATTTATGGTGGGACTGTTAGGGGAAGGCACAGGGGGCAGAGAGAGATTAATGAATAGAAATTTCTGGAGGTCAGGAATTTGGTCTGGTCCCATCTCTGTGCTTGGCACCTGATGCTGTAAGACTGAGAGCCTCAGCAAACATCTGCTAAGTTTACTTGAACTCAACCCCTATAAAGCTGGAAGGCACTGAGAATTCCGAGGGCTCCACCTGCCGCTCCTTGGTGTTTTGATTTTCCTTCCTTTTGTCACAGAGTCGCTGCTGCCCCCTTCTGGCGTTGGTGGGCATTTCTGGGGGATATGCCTTTTAAAGGTTTAGCAGTGTCCTACATGTTGTTAAGCTTAGTGCCCTGAGTCTACCAACTCTCCAGGCCTGGATGGAGTCACAACAGACCCGGGTCATTTGTGTTCTGAGGGAAGCCCTGTTCCTAGAGATAATACGAATGTTGGAGGATATGCAGAGGATTTGGCTTTAGCGGGACTAGAGTTGAAAATGGGATTATTCTGTTTGGATAGCTGTAGTAGAAAGATGGACTGCATTGGGAGTCAGGAGAACTGGAATCTAGACCAGCCATAAACGTTGAACTTTGGCTTTCTGGGCCCCATTTGCCTTTTTTGTAAAGCAGGAGGCCATTTGTGCTCCGGGCAGTGGGGGGTGGGGGTGAGGGGCTTCAGCAGGGACGGCCTCTGCCCCACTGCAGAGCAGATCCACTTTGAGCTGTTTTATTTATGGGGTGTCAAATAAGAGTTTGCAGGAAAAAAATGTCCTCAAAAGTCTGAAAGCCACTGGACTGGATGATCTCTGGGATCCTTCCAGTTCTAATGGTGTAATTTCATAAACTTAGAATTGAATCACAGACTTGAAAGCTGGAATCACAGTGCCAGAGATTTCTCCATAAGTGCTATGGGTGTTTTGCAGGCGGACAGTCCAGAAGACATGCACAGCTGGATTAAGGAGATCAGGGCAGCTGTCCAGGCCCTCAAATGCCACCCCAGAGTAAGTCATTTCCTTTCTGGTACGCAGCCGCTGTCAACTTGGAGATGAATTCTGCTTGAGTGGTCAGGTTTTATTTGGTGATGTAGGCAAGCAGCCTGTTCTGGATGCAGCTGAAGCCCCAGGCTGTCTTGTTTGTTTTCTCTTTCTACTGATTTAAGTACAGAGTTTCATTTTTATTTTTATTTTTTGGTTGTTTGAAAGCGGCAAGTTGGGTTGGGTAAAGAAACAGAGACTCTGATGTGTTCTACACGTCTCCCTGCCAGGCAGAACATGACACATCTGGAGTGAATTCCGTTGGTTGTACTTGATTTCCATAGACAGGGGTCTCTGGACCTATGAGGTGGTGATCCTAAGTGGCTGTTCTTCCTGGGGCTTTGGAGTAGACATTGTCAGGAAAGCCCTTATTTTCTTTTGTTTTTTTCTTCCCTTTTATTTTTGTAGGATATGTCCTTTTCTAGATCCATCTCTTTGACTCGCTCTGGAAGCTCCAGCCTGTCAGGTGGGCCCAACTCTGCCTTGTGCAGGGGGCGGCCAGCTGTGGAAGAGAAAAAAGCCCTCTGCAAAGCCCCCTCTGTGGCTTCCTCCTGGCAACCCTGGACACCTGTCCCCCAGGCCGGGGACAAGCTGCTTCCAGCTGAAGAGACTCCTGGGGACTCCTTGTTCATGCCTCGACCTGGGGAGAGCAGTACTTCTGGGGTGTTGCCCAGCTCCCGGATAAGGCACAGATCAGAGCCCCAGCACCCCAAGGAGAAGCCATTTCTGTTCAGCCTTGATGATGAGAGCATACGAACTTCTGATGTGTGATAGGGCACGGTACCCTGGGAGGGGGGAGGACTCAAGAAAAGGAGGCCATGACTCAGTTTCCCTACCTTTTGGAAGGTGGTCAGAGACCCTTTGGCACTCATATTCCTGTGGATGTTCTATGGGGAGGGCCCATTCGGTTGTTTTTTTTTTTTTTTTTTTTTTTTTTTTTTTTAATATAATACAGCGTATTTGACTTGGAAAATCACGAGGTTAGACCTGTAGGCATGCTCAGTGGAGAGCAGGTTGCCTCTCATTTGACCACTCCAAGGTCTTCCTGGTGAGAGGAGGTTTAGTAGTGCAGTTTCATCCCAACCAAGTTTTATTTCCGTGTCCTAGTTATAGTTTCTTCCTTTGGTTTCCAGGCTGGGCACAGAGTCTTGGGCAGTCATCTGGGTTATCCTATTCCTGTTTATTGGCTGAGGTCTAACAGTGAAGTAGGAGTAGGTAACAGACACAGCTGAAAGCAGCAGACCTAGGCTCTGGCTTGGCTGGGATACATTCTGAGGGGAGGTGTTACGATCTGGGGGCTGGCAGGTAGCTCTCAGAATGTCCACTAAGGTGGATCCTCCCAGGGGAGAATCTTCTACTGGGGAAGAAATAGGGATCTCTTGTAAGGTATGGGGAAAGATTCAACCTCAGTGCATCAGCCAGTTTGGGGAATTATTCTGTTCTTGTCTACGACCCCAAATAATGTCAATGTGAGTGATAGACCTGCCCATCCAGTTTCTGTGTCAGGCCCCGAGGATGGGTTTATCAGTCTTAAAAGTTACAACTGTTGAGAATAGGGCAGACATTTCCACTGAAGTGGTGTTATTTGGAAGTTTCGAGGGTTGATAAGTGTATGATAATTCACTTGTGTGATAGATCGGATCTCTGTTTTAGAGTGTTAGAATTGTTTTGAAGCAGGTGCTGGGAAAACATGGATTATAGTTCATCCAGATAAACTTTTCTGATCCGTGTTTTCCAGACAGAAGAAAAGGTCTGTTTTAGCACAGATGGATTTCTTGAATCCTTACTTCACAGCTCTCTTCAATGGGCTGATATTAGTCTAATTTTAAGTGCTGTATATTATATACCCCGGCAGATTTGCTTTCTTTCTTTTTCTGTTGCCTTTGAATGAAGCCTTGTGTACTTGCATGATCACACCTTGTAATATGATAAGGTTCCATGTACTTAACAGTGAAGAGATACAAGGATAATCCTGAGAGGTATTTATATTTTTAATAAAATAGAAACTATGCATAGAAACATTGATTTAGAAGCTCTGCATTGCTGACTAGAGATTTCCCAGGTAGAAGAGCATAGATTGCCTTTTCCACCCAAATTTCTACCTTCTTTCAACTTGACAAAAGATACTATTTCCAGGTCCCTGGGAGAATTTGTCTAACTTAATGTGGCCTACTGCTAACTTACCAGGGTTCCCTAAAGGGAGAGAAAAACTAACTCATTTCTGTCTATACCTTTCATCAGCTAGATCAATTAGTTACCTTTAAATTAAAAAATTAAAGACTAGAGGAAGATACTGAGAGAAGCATTTTTACCTAAGTGAATATCTTCCCCTCCTTATGTCCAGATGTAATGCAGAGGTAAAAACATGTCATCAGAAACCCCTAGGGGCTTGAGGGAAATCTTTGTTCCTTTAATGCAGTGTAGTTCCCTTGCATTGTTTGGCCTAGTGGTCCTGTTATAAAAAAAGACATCTACTGGATCTCTCTCTTTTTCTCTCCCCCCACTCTTTTTTGCAGACTCTTGTAGACTTTTGTCCTCAGAAATCTGTGCTTTGGGAGTTAGTTATTCATGGGTGAGTGAGATTACAGCTTCAAGTAGCCATTTCAAATTCTTAAAGCTCCTCATCTCTGGTTTCATCTTCAAATTTTCCTTAAGAAAATTCTTTGGCTAGGTCAAAGAAGGTACACAATAAATGATATTGTACTAGCAAAAATAAATTAGGAACTTTTGAGATCTCTTTAAACATTCCCCAACTCATGAAAGCTGTCATCCTCTGGCAAAAATGTATCCATTTCTCTTTTGTTAAGTAAACTCTCTGCTAGAATACTACTGCTAAATTAATTGGCCATTTTAGTAAGCTGATATATTTCTCATTCAGTAGGGTCTATTTTAAGAATGTGAGTTCAATATGCTTATAAATCTAGACTGTATTATTATGATGGAAACAAGGACTGTAGATGGCAAATACTTGGGAATACCAAGTGAGAACATTGTTAATGTGGTTCCAACACCAGATAAATAGAATTATCTTCAATGGCACTTAAAAGCATTCTAATTCCCAAACCTTATTTCAGAATTCCTTTTGTGTCCATATTTCTCACCTTCTGACCAATTTCACATCACAATTTTTAATGTCACTTCACATGTGAGCCAAAGATGGTGCCTATGCAGTCAAAGCATTTGGCTTTAAATTTTTTTAATGTTTGTTTATTTTTGAGAGAGAGAGAGGGAGACACAGAACCCGAAGTAGGCACCAGGCTCTGAGCTGTCAGCACAGAGCCTGACATGGGACTTGAACCCACTAACCACAAAATCATGACCTGAGCCAAAGTTGGACGCTCAACCCACTGAGCCACTCAGGTGCCCCAAGTGGTCTTCCCTATAATTGAACTATTTACCATTCACTATCTTGAAAGCTTAAGAACTTAAGCTTAAGAATGAAAGCTTAAGAATTTCTGTGGTGGTTGGTAAATGTAGTTTGGCCTTTTGCATCCTGTGAGACATTGTAACCCTAGTAAGGTGAAGAGTGGACTCAGGTCAAAATATTGGAGGTTATACGTTTATTTTTGAGCAGAATGCTGAGGTCACATGAAAAAGAGCAGAGGTAAGGCCCAGCTTTGTAGTTTACTTGACACAAAAGGTTTTTTTCTTTTTCTTCTTAAATATAACTGTGCTCTGATACAAGTAAAAGCAACCAATAAATAAATAGATTGAGTAGCTGAGCGGTGGGATTTGATGTTAGTTTTCACTGTTGACCAGATAAACAGGCACATGGAAGTAACACCATTTTGGAAATTGAGTTTCCCAAATGAGCTTTGTTTATAAACTTTGAACATATCAAAAATGGGCAGTTTATTAAATCTTTTCTACCAACATCACTTTTTTTTTTCCCCTCATCCTTTTTTTCCTCCATGTTATTGCCTGCAGCAGTCAGTTACAGTCACTCATGCTAAGTAGAATTTGAGTAAAGCTAATATTGGCAAAAATATACTGTTTGACCCCTTCCCCCACTGCTTATGGTGTGGCATGATTTTGTGTTTTGAACCAGTACGTTTCAGCTGTGAAATGCACTCACTGCAAGCACTGAGCTGAGTGCATGGAAACTGTTATGCTTCTCATTTTATGTGATCTACTAATTGGTATGTAGCAAAAATAATTTTCTAAAACTGTTTTGTTGCTTGTTTTGTAATAAAACCATGTGAAATACTGAAATATGGTGTATGTTTTCCTAACGCTGACCTTCTGTCTGTGGGTGGGTGATCTCTCTAGTCAGTGTGCCCTATTACTGGTTTTTTGGACTTCCCGAGGTAAGTGCCTGCACAGGGCAGGGCTGGCGACCTCTCTTGGTGGCGTGGGGGTAGACCTGGCCCCGGGGCAGGGACGGTGTGGGTGATACGTGTGGGATCTGCCAGGTTCTGCCCCATAAAGTCTGGGGGTTGGCAGAGGCGGCACCCAAGCCGGGAGAAAGTGTTGCTCACGTTAGAGCAGTTGCGAGACCAAAGTAACTGGAACAGAGCGAAGAAGGAAGGGGGCAGAATGACTAGATCTCTGCTGCGGCCCACCGCGCTCGGACAACTTCTGCTGTGGCTGCTGCTGCCCCCGCTGCCTGTGCCCAGGGTCGAGGCTAGGAAGTCCAGGCCCTCGCTGCCCTGTCCGGCGGCCTGCGAGCCTACGCGCTGCCCCCCGCTGCCCACCTGCTCCGCTGGGGCGACGCCGGTGCTCGACCGCTGCCGCTGCTGCCGCGTCTGCGCGGCGGCCGAGGGAGAGGCCTGCGGCGGGACGCTGGGCCGGCGGTGCGCCCCGGGGCTGCAGTGCCGCGCGCCGCTCAGCGCCCAG